GGATTCCCTCGGGAATCCTTAATCATAGGTAATAGAAGATCAGTCTGAGACACGCGCAGATAGGGTCTCGGTGACCAATTGTCGTCTTACATCTAATTGTTTTTGCGATAACCTGTGAGATCGCCTGAAATTATCTGTTAGCCGTAGGGGAAATCCTGTGCACTGGGAAGTGACGTATTATTTATGTTACCTAGAAATATACTGTAGACAGTGAGGGCGTTACCTATCGTCTCATTTAATCACTCCCCAGAGCACGCAGGTTGGGTGACGGAGAGCCATTGCAGGTGAGCCAGGTGATTGTAGGACTGGCACGTCCATCCTCGGTACTACAGTTATCTTCGTTTGTCTAATTATCTGGCCAATAAAGAGGATGGCGTGCATTAATCCAGTAAGAGAATCGGTAGTTTCCAGCCTCGCTTGATAACTGTCCCTGATCTTCGTCCGTTACAACAATGACAAGGTGTTACGCATATTAAATAGGGTTGTAGTCATCGCTGACATATTTTGAACACTTAAGGTCTTGGGTTGAGTCCTAACAACTGTCATGTATTAAGACTGATTTTAGGGTTCTAATTGTGCAGTTTAGTCAAAAAAGGTCGAATGCTCTTCGTTAATAGTTGTATAAAACTAGTTCAAGAAAAAGCACCACAGATCCCCGACTTCAAAGGGCCCGCAGCACATTAGATACTGTCAGCATCATTGGAATTCTTGATCCTATGAGTGCGCTGCTTACATTCTCTCTAATTATTTCCCATCCACTACTTCTGTAACAGGATGGGCCAAATGCACACTTATTTTTCCACCCTTAAGAGTCACTTTCTCAATCTGTCAACGCAAAGGATGACGCACTTAACGGCATTCATTTTTGTAAATGTTGTCTAGATAGCGATCTCCTTCGGTTGCGAACGTACTTAAAAAAATTCGAATTATCATTGATGCCGGGCAGTATTCAAAAATGAGGTATATTACCAGCCCAGAACAGGGAGACTGTAATAGCCGTTTCTGGCTTCTTAGCTGTTATCAGCCGGATATTGCGGCACCGTAGCCTCGGACCCGCGAACTGTTGATAAAGTTCAACTCTCTAAAAACTGAGCCACTGTGAGCCGTTCTTTGTACTATATGCTTCATTGCATTGAATTAGTTACACGGCTTTTTCATTTCCTTTTCAGTTGGAAACCTTGGTAGAGCTGGCGTAGGGTCTAGCCAAGCGGTGTATGATAGTCTTGGTACCTCTGGCAAACCTGCGTCAGCTGCCGCACTGTCCTTCTTGTCAATGTCCAAAAATGTCAGCCCATC